AGGGCGCTACGCGCAGCCTGACACTTAATGCTTAGGCCCAAAGGCTTGAAGTACAGCGTTGCGTTCAGAGCTGCTTGTGGTGTACTCCTTCTGGCTCCTGTAACTAAAATTGCGGCGGCTCTTTGTACCTTGTCTAATTTACTAGATGTCGACTTGAGGCTCAGACAGTTCCACCAAACAAGAGAGCCATAGGACAAGATGGGCTTCACCACAGTGTTATACAACCAGTGTATAGTCAATGGTTAAGCCCCCCGCTTTTCCCAATAGAGTTCTTGCATGCGTAGAGTGCAATCATTCCTCTCTTCGCCCGCTCCTCAACGTTCCTTTTCCATCGTAGTTGACAGTCCAGGATTGTGCCGAGGTACTTTGCTTCGGGAGATAGGTGAAGTTGCACCCCATCCAATGTTGGTGGAACAAAAACGGCGAGCTTACGCTTCCTAGTAAACATTACCAGTTCCGTCTTCGTTGGATTTACACCAAGACCATTTGCCTTGGCCCAGATCACCCTGTACTCTCAAAACATTTGTCCTAATTTGAGGTGTGATTTTCAGATTTTTAAAATTCCATCTCATCCATTCCATCTCAACTATATGCAAATAGTACCAAATTTAGTACCATTTTGTACTTTTTATAAAAATAAGTACGAAATTCTTAAACCATTTCCATACATCAACATCACTTCCCTACCTGTATTCCATATAAAATTTCAAGGTTTTAGCTTTATATGTTCAATAGTACTTTTAGTACACTTATCGAATTTCCAAAAACCCTTTTGTACAGCTTTCTAACTTTCCTTCAGTGACCCACATTTCAAATTACAGAATTCTAGCTCTTCGCGTTCGCCTAATACAGAGGGTACCATATTTGGTACATTTTAATACATTTCGTACCCTTCTTGTTCGAATTTCCAAAAACCCAGCCTTATCTCACGCCTACTCACCAACAACAACCCACACTCAATATTTCAAGCTTCTAGGTTCAGTCGTTTTGTTTGGCGATGTTCTGTCAGTCAGTCACTCACTCACTTAACACTAACGCTATTTCTTTTAAAATCCAAGCCTATTGTTTATAATTTTTTTTAATCCCAGCTTTCAATTTATTTAAAAAGTATTTCTTTTTCCAAAATCTTATTTTTTTTTTTTTTAAATCACGCCTTTTATTAAAAAGTTTCGTTCAGTTCATTTTGGTGAATCAAAAAGTTCATCAGCTGATATATTCACTTTTTGCATGCCTCTATCAAACAGATTCGTAAACAAACGGGGGATAACGTTGTCTCCCAACAGTTGATTTCATTTGGAACGTTTTTAATTTTGATAGGTCCACAAAAAAAACGTATGACGTGTAGGTAAAGTGGTGTTGTTGTTTTCGATTCAAGTACACCGACTTCAATTGCGCACAACTGACAGAGCTCTACTGGAAAATAAAATATGTTTTAATAACATAACATAAAAAGGAAATATAAATAATAAACAATTAGTGGAAAGCCAAGAACAAAACATATCATTTGCCCAGCTGTTTGCAGAAGAAGAACAAGACAATGAAAATACCGGAGAAAAGCCGCTTTCTAATTTATGCCTTGGGAATATTCTTTTGCTATTTCCTCTATGGCATTGTCCAAGAGAAAATAACGCGTGGACGTTATGGCCAACAGGCCAATGAAGATGGCACGGTGGGTGAAAAGTTCACCTATGCCTTGGCTCTGGTGTGGGTGCAGTGTTTATGTAATTTTATTTTTGCCAAGGGTAAGTTAAAGCAGGAGAGATTCCATTCGGGATACTAACGAAATTTCTTCTTTTTTGTCTTTCAGGCATGCTGACGGTCAAACCACAAAAGGAAGACACCACTCCCCGGAGTTATTATGCCATCAGTGCATTGACATACCTTTTGGCCATGGTTTCCTCAAATATGGCATTGCGTTGGGTACCCTATCCTACACAGGTTGTGGGTAAATCTGCTAAGCCCATACCCGTAATGATATTGGGTGTATTGATTGGACGTAAATCCTATAGCTGGATACGTTATATATGTGTACTGACCATTGTTGTGGGGGTGGTGTTGTTCATGTACAAGGAGAGTAAGGCCCCAGCTGTGGCGGCCACTGACAAAACTGGATTGGGTGAATTGCTGCTCATACTCAGTTTGTCTATGGACGGTTTAACGGGTGCCGTACAAGAACGTATGCGTTCCTCAAGTGCCCCTTCTGGGCAGCAAATGATGTTTGCCATGAACTTTTGGAGTACTCTGATGTTGGGCTTTGCCATGATTGTGACAGGTATGTAGAACAACTTCTCAAATAATTGAAAATAATTTAAAACAAATTCTCTTCTTTTTTAGGTGAAGGCAAAGAATTCATACATTTCGCCAGCCGCCACCCTGAGTTGTGGGGCCATATGGCCATGTTGGCACTGTGTGGTGCCTTGGGTCAACTATTCATTTTCCTAATGGTTTCTGGTTTTGGCCCGTTGGCATGTTCTGTTGTCACCACCACCCGTAAATTCTTTACCGTACTCTGTTCTGTGGTGTTGTTTGGTAATGTCTTATTGCCACGTCAATGGTTTGGCGCTGTTCTGGTATTTGCCGGCCTCTTTGCCGATATGTTCTATGGTAAGAAACCTCCAGCATCAAATAAGAAACCCCTTCCAAAAGACACCGAGGAAAAGAAGAAGTTAATATCATAGAATTAGTTTCGTCATGCGGAGGTTGCTATTGACAAGTCTGAGGATGCATATTAATGTAATTGATTTTTTTTCTACTACTACTTTAAAATACACACAAACAAATTTCCATAACTAAGATTTTTTTTGATATTTATATATAATATTTTATATAGACCAAATTATAAAAAATAGTGTATATTTTGTTGTTTTGTTGATATTTTTATTCAACATTTTTGTATAATTTAAAGTTATTTTGTATAAATTTGATTTTAAGTAAGAACAACAAACAGACAAAACAAAAAGCTATGAATTTAAGAACAACAAAAACTATATATACAAATTAAAATGTATTTTATTAGATAAGTAATACAAAAAAAAAAGAAGAAAAACAAATTAATCATTTCTAGTAAATTCATTTGTGTCATAGAATATGATTTCAAGTGGTTTATAGAGCCGTGGATTTATTAAAAATATTTCTTCATCCACTGTGGCGTGAATTTTTTAAACGTATATTTTTTCATTAACAGAGGATTATATTTTTAAAGGAATATTTGGTCCTCCACCAGAGGCGTGCATTAAAAAAATATTTTTACCGTCAACGGAGGCGTGGATTTTTTAAGAGAATATTTTTACCATCAATAGAGGAATAGATTTTTTAAGCATCAACAGAGGCCGGCATTAACGAATATTTTTCCAATATTTCCATTAACAGAGGACTTTATTTTTAAACGAATATTGTTTCATCAACAGAGGCGCGATTTTTTAAACAAATATTTTTCAAGCATTAACAGAATCCTGGATTTTTTTACAAATATTTTTTCCATCAACAGGGCGTGAATTCAAAAAAGAGGACCCTTATATGGGGATTTTTGGGGATAAAAAAGTTATTAACAAACTAAACAATCAATTGCATAATGTTTTTGCCACGTAAATTCTGTTCTCAAATCCATAGGATTATATTTGACGTATACGCTATAAAATTGACATTTTATATCGAGTGAATTTCGTAAATCTATATGCACTTTAATATCATTTAAATAATCACAATTTGTGGGATCTCTTATACGGAGCCTATACATAATAAATGTACCGATATTTATAACGTATGGCAGAAGGATTTTCCATCTAATAAGAATCCAAAATATCAAAATAAGGCAAATTCTATTAAGAAACCGTTCTGAAGCCCCTATAATACCAAACTTAGGGACGCACGCTTATATATACCAAAACATGGACCGATATATGATATGGATACCATTTACATGCATGTGCAAAAATCTCTATCGTAACAGTCAGAAAGGCCGATATACCTAAATCAACATAAAAGTTATTCTAATTATATATTTTATATAATATACCTTATTGGGTCTCCGATGAATATTTCGATGCTTTGCAAATTGAATGACAGTTTTAATATAAACTCCAGCCATTGAAAAAATACTTTATAGAAATTAACGACTGAAGGTCTTTAAATTCTTGAAAAATATCTGCTAGCTGATCTTTTTGGTCCTTCAAACCCTATTTTTTTTTTAAATAACGCCTGTTGGTCTTCCTGCCCCTTATAGAAATTTTCGTTAAAACTTTCACAAATTTCCACAACAATATTAACATTCTGGCAAAAATTCGTTAAATAAAGATAAACATGACTGGTCACGGGTACTCACCGAATACAGTTATGCTGAATTTATTTGATATTTTAAATATGAAACTTAAATATTTAACAAACAAATGAAAACAATTCTTTCCCCATTTTGGCGCTGTTGTTAATGTAAAAGTGCTGCCAAGTTAATACCATGACAAACGTTAAATTGAGCGCAAAGAGACACCAAATTAAAAGCGTTCCACTGAAAGACAGCTTACACAACGTTTACATTATACGTGCTGTAGAAAAAATATTGCTCTATGGAGAGAATTCCTTGCAAAATGGGCTCAGATATTCTGTGTGACCATTTTAAAAAACATTTTATTTTTAAAGAAAAATTAAATTAAAAAAAATTTATGAAATTGAAGTGAATTTTTCTAGAACACTGCCATGGATTTTTGTGAAGGGCTCTTCAGGAATTTGAAGGTGAGGATTTTCAAAGAATCTAATACGACATTTACATTAGAACTTTTTACCGGGTTAACCTACTTTATGAGGATTTATTTGGCATATATTCAAAGGAAATGAAAATTTAAACCCACTGGGTTAACCAAATCCGGTTAAATGTAAACGACCTTTAAAGAACCTAAAAAAACATTTTTATGTCTTGAACGGCATATACATTAGAACTTTTTACCGGGTTAACCTACATTATGAGGATTTATTTGACATATAAGCAAAGGAATCGACAATTGAAACCCACTGGGTTAACAAAACCCGGTTAAATGTAATGGTACTATTGGTCTCTAGAAATAATTTAAGAATAATTTAAACACATTCTTAAAAATATTTGACATATTGCCCATTTTAATATGTATTTGTAAGAATATTTTTAGGCGTGTATTTTTAAGAATATTTTCTCCAGAATGTTAAGACATCTAGGCGTGGACGTTAATGCATAATTGTGATAAAATTCTCCAGCTCGTGAATACACCACAAAAGTTATTAATTGAGAATATAAGAGGACATTCAACTGATTTTTTAGAATGTTTCCGTTGGAACAAAATGAAAAAATCGCTTTTGCAAACATAAATTTACTGTGAAAATTTTCATTTTGAGGATGGCCGGGCCCCTGTGCTGGTAGCTGGGACGACTGAACCCTCAGCACACCCCAAGGGTAAACTGAGCACTGAGACTTCTCTGACACCAGCATCCACGAAGACGGGGGGTAAGGGACTGTCGAAGTCAGTCCGAAGGAGAGCCCGCAAAAAGGCCTCCAAGAAGGCTGACAAGATACAACCTCCCTCTGGAAACCCACTCTTTGCCGAAGTGTCAAAACCGACATCCAAGGTTGTGACAATTGGGCAGCTGTTGGTGGATGCTCCAAAGGCATCGAGCGCGAAGCAGGTGCCAGTGTCGGGTGTGCCTATCTTTGCATCAATTGTGACCCCTTGAGCCGAATCTCGATCACCACCTACAGCCGTGAAGAGAATGAGGTCCTCGGACAAACAGTCGTCAGTTTCACATAGTCGGTAGTGTAGCAACTCTGCTGCTCCACAAGAGGGAGCTAGTCGACAGTCGGCCGACAAAGCTGATCGACGGAACCTACGGTTTGGCCAGATCACCTTATACAAAGGCGTCAAGATTGTTAATTATCCAACTAAGGAGTCTGCGGACTTCCTTAAGAAGACTACAGACAGCTACTTTCTACTACTTTCGGAATGTTGGCTTCGTCGGATGATCATGTATCTAAGATCGAACGTGTTTGATTTATCTGATAACTTTCAACTACGAAAAATAGTATTCAACTCGCCGCTCACTGAACCTTTAAGCCTCTTTTTGGCCTACCATATTAAAATTGGTCGCCACATCATTAAATAAGAACTTTCCAGATCAATCTCATGGTTTCCAAGAATCCAAAAAGATGGGAAGCTATTTTATATGCCTTAAGTCCCAAGCCCCTTTAAGAAAAATGATGAGTGTTTCGCTGGGATTATCCAATTCCAAAGAACATGATGAGAAAATGACAATCCTATTTTTTTACAATAACAACAGGCATTTCTAATTTTTCTATTGTAAAAAGTTGCGTATGCGTCGTTTTTAAACACCTGTTTTTACAGGAAGGAGTTGCCAGATCGTAACAAAATTTAACATGTGTTCATAACAGAGATGGAAGTTTCCAAAACTCTTAACCGTTTTCTGTTTATATCGCGCTTTTTGTGCTAGGCTAAGAATTTTCCGAACTGCCCTCGTACCCATAAATATAAATTGTAACGCCCATATTTATATCTTGAGAACAAATGTGCAGCTTTAGAAAGCATACATTGTTTAATTTGCTCAAAATATAAAAATTGACATACACAAAATTTTAGGGCTTTTTCATATTTTTTGAAAATATTCAATTTCTCAAACGAGACACCTTCCAAAAATATGCCAATCGTCCTTCATGATTTATGTACTTTTTAATTTGTTTCACTGTTATTAAATGAAAAGTACATAACAAATAATGTTTTGTAATAAAACACATATGAGTCCATTGCCTAAATTATTCATTGTTTTCATCCATAAATTAACTTTAAATCATAATTTAAAACGACAACCGTTTATTACCCATAATGTAAATTCAAATGAAAATTTGGCGCCATCATGAAGTGCTGCCAAGTCTCTTTTTTTCTACACAACACTACTCATTCAGCCATCCCTGCATTTGTTGTGAATTTTGTTGGGTGGTAAAGAGAGAGCGCGCTCACTCTCTCCGCCACACACACACACATACGTACAAATAATGGCAAACTGACAAGAAGAACATTTCTTTGCTGCCTTTTTTCTCATTCGTCCAATATGAATGAAATTCTGACTGACTGAATTCCAATTGCAAGAAGTCAGTCGTCGTGAGTTTATTGTCGTCTACTACGGTTGCCGTCGACGTTGTGCCGTTTGTAACTGCTCCCTATTACAAGTATTTTGGCAGAGTGTCTTATAAAATCATTGAAAAAAAGTGGAAAAATTATCCTTGCAAATTGAATTAAAAGAAAAATTGAAAAGAAAATCGCAAAAGGAAATAGAGAAAAATTGAAATCGAAAAAATAAATTGTGTCTGAAAAAAATTGTGTAAGGCTTTGCTGCCTGTGAAGTGTTTTATTCTAAAAAAAAGTGTTATATGTGTGAGTGTGTGTGTGTGCATCGTTGATGTAAAATAGAGCAAAGGATACAGTTGTCGAAAAGTAGTAGTTGTCTATTGTGGCAGAAGAAATTAAAAGAATTAAAAAAAGGAAATTTAATAGCGGGTGCCAAAAGCCGCCGTCACGTAATAATAAAAAAGAAGGAATTAAATTTCGGTGGTTTATTTTGTGATTGAATAAAAAAATCTTAAAATATTGTTTTGTGTCCAAGTTATAAGGAAAATAAAAAAATGTATTTTTAAATACAAATTTCATTTCTT